CTCGATTTTATTTAGCACTTAGATTTCTCTGTTGTACTCACCCTTGTGCTCTCCTCCTCTTTGCGCGTCTGCTCCGCTATATAGTTTACACCATCCATGGCTTTGAGTAGCTCGGGACAGCCATGCCACCGATGCCGCAATTCGTTGCCTTCCGAACAGCCCCCACTACCGCCGCTCAGACAACAATGCGTGCCCTCTTCTCGCTGACACGCTGGCAGTATTTCACACGGCAGGGCGCCGCCAACCGCACCTTGTCCACCAACACCACTCACACCATGTGGATGCGGCTGTTCAGACGATTGACACGCGGCACCAGCACCCATACCTTGATGTATCTGTATGCCACTGCAGCAGGAGTCCGCCAGCGTTGAAGCGGTCGCCACCGAGTTCACGGTGGTCGTTGACTTTATCACATTCGCATTGCTATTACCCAGCAGATCACACGTCGTGGTCGACTGATGTTGCTGGTGGGGATGTAGTGGTGCCGGGACGGGCGAAAATTGCGCAGATGAGGCTGACTGTTGGCGATAAAGATGATGCGTGGAGGTGCTGGTCGCACCAAAGCCAATGCCAACACCCACGCCCACCGAATGCGTGTGGACGTGATGTAGCGTTGAAGTGGACGCTGAGATGGCGCCGCTGGGCAGTTGTTGTTGGTGTTGCTGGTAGAGGCGTCCGAACTGCGAGGTGGATGGTCCGTCGAAGCCATTCGTCTGAACTGACGTGGAAGTCTTTTGTTGGCGGAACTTGGTTGGCGTTAGCGGGTGATCGAGCAGTGAATCGCCAGTCTGTTGGTATTGGCTATGATGTTGTGCGTCCATGAGCGATGACGTGGTCGATGTCTGTTGATTCACAGTTGAAATATTGGAGGGGTAGAGTGTAGAGAACTGACCAGTCGCCGAAGCGGTGCCGGTGGTAGAGGGCCCTAAACCACCGATCGTTGAGTCATCCAGCAGATTGAGACTCTGCACGCGATGTTGCAGATGTGGCGAGGTACTGCGCGACGTCGTTTTAGGGCTGTGATGCATTCTGTAGGGGTGGGAAAGCAATAATTTTTTAAATGGATAACTTCTCAAGCAAATTTTGGAATGTGTGTAGATATATACCTCGACAAGGCCGCTGGCGGTGGTACCGGTGGTATTTGGTCGCCCAAGTCAAATCCATTGCAGGTGCGAACCATCAAGCGTCGCGATGATTTGCTGAAAGCCAAATGGATTAATTATTTAAAATCAATTTATTTAGTTATAAAAATTAAATGGCATCCCAAAATGTTTCATTGGATTTTTTACTCACATCATCTCACTGATGGGATACAGCGGTCGTCGCATGACCAAAAAGCGAGGCAGTTGATTGATGAACACCGTTCGCACCCAGGGTGCCATTGTGTGTGTCTGTGGCGAGCGGAAATGTATGTTGAGCACTACCACCGTCACACATATACTGTATGTAGAGTCGTTCCCCGGAGAATGCAGTGCAAGCGTGTTCGCGGTATTAGAATGGCGATTCGTGGTGGTTGCAGGACATTTCGTGGTATGGCGTTCGTGCGGGATCGACCAGCGCATGACCAATGACCAATGAGCCATGTTGCGTCCATAACGGCACACCGGAAAGCATTGCAAATTGCAGAAAATAGAAAAAATCCATACATATGAACAAAATGTTTGTTTGTATGTACGTATGTTCTTCTATACGTATGTATGTATATGGTACATTGGTTTGCATAGCAAGGGTACAGAAAAATAGTAGAGTGTACAAGATATATTTATAAATTACTTTGGGGAAATTGATGATGCAATACACTTCGAGTGATTTTTTTACTCTATCTCATGTATCGGAAATTGCTGCGTGGTCCATGCATACAATTTATTCATTGACTATTCACTATTCAAAGCAAAGAACAAGCTAGCAAAATACACTACGACACCGAAGTATACATATGTTTAAGTATGTACGAGGTTAGGTTTGATAAGTTAGTGACCTTTTGAATTCCCAGCGCAATAACTTTAAATTGAACACTGCTCCTACTGTCGACTACAAACATTCTACAAAGGCTATTATTCTCATTTAGTGTGTGTTTGACAGCCATTGGAAAACCATTTCGGAAGCCTTAAGAAATGCAACCATAATTAAAAAAAAAAACGCTGGACTGAATTCATCGCGCTAAGGACGAAAAGTCACGGACTTATCGAACTGCCCACGTACATATATTTACATTGACGACATATGCAAAGCTTTTCTGAAAACACTAGACTTCAATTTTTGTTGCTCAAGCGTGCACAGATAGCATATTGAAACTTCGAAGACTAGTATTTGGTTATCTTAGTAAATAAACGCCCTATCTTAAATTTTTGTATCTTTACATAATACAAAATTTTATAAACACTTATACCATGTTCTGACCGACATCGAAATCATGTTTTCGATGCTAAAACTGGTTTTTGACCTAAAACTTGTGTTTTCGTCCATGTAAAATCTGTCAAACGAAAACCAGTTTTCGCTGAAAACTACTTGAAAACTCACGTTCCACTCATTCCAATCGATGTCTTCACTAGTTTTTTTCGATTATTTATCGAAGTGGAAGTCATATTTTGTCACTTTTAATACGCTATTTCGGATTTATTTTTAATTGGCTGGCAAAGTAAAATAAGAATGAAAGTAAGAGGTTGCTAAATAAAAGAAAATGAGGGAAAAGCATTTTGGTTTTGTTTTTGTGTAGCAAAAATGTAACCAGAGGATGCAAGAAATGTCAACGAAAACCCTAACAGCCGGTGTGAACAGCCTTCAGCCCACAATCCCAAAACTCGTTTTCAAAGTGTTTTCGTTGTCGGTCAGAACACGGTATAAAGTTCTTAAGTAGGAAATTTCTTTAAACTCCTGGGTATAACAAACACTGAAACCAATTTATTGATGTAAATAGTAGTTGTTTTTAATTCTATCAGGTCTTTAGTGACCTGTGTACAAAGTTGATTTTCGAAAGAAAATGGGTTAGTTCATAAAATCTAGTCCCTTTAAAACACCACATTGGAAAAAAATCTTATTGCTAGACTGCGGATTTTTATGCAGAACACGAAGCCTAAAAATATGTACCCCATAACTGTAAGCAAAATGTATACAAATTTATTTATTTTGCTTATAGTAAATTTATATATATTTTTAGGCTTCGATTTCTGCAAAAAATCCGCAGTCTACTTATTGCAAATTAATTTGTTTTAAATCCTTTTTCCGAAAACGTTTTCGTATAAATACATTTTAGAATATTTAGAAATAACTTTTAGAATATTTAAAAATTAAAAGTCAAGTTAATTTCAAGAAAGATATATTGTAAGCAGGGTATTAAGTTTGTAAAGCGAGAGATAGCTTGATTACCATATGTTTGTAAACTGAACAAAAAAATAGCGAAGTTATAAGAATTTGCTAACTATGATATTTTATCGATATTTGTTCCGCACATTATCATTTTTAAAAATTTATTTGAAAGTCCATTTCTGTCAGTTTTTATATTTGTTACTTTCAGGAACGAGCCCCTAGTCGCTGATCATGGAGTCGATAACTCATCCCGACTACTGTTATTTGACCTCAACCCACCTTATCTCACCTCAACTCTGCTCAACTCACCCTAACTCACCTTAAATATATTGCAATCTCAGTATTTACAATTTCTTAACCAAAAGCTCAACTTTAAGTCGGAAGAGGTTATAGTAATATGTATATTTACATACACATACATTGTATACATTGACGGCACATGTACAACTGTGTGCAATTTCATTTCTCGTGTTGACTTTTTGTGGTAAATAATGTGATTGTTTTTGCATTAAATAATTGAAAAGCCAATACATTTTTATTTCATTCGTACTTCGGCCAAGGGACATAGTACATACATACAAATTTTATCATCACTGGTAATATGGGTAATAGAAAACTGAAAAAAGAGAAAACGTCGGCAAAGCATCGAAGCGGGAGAATCGGGCAATTTTTTGCCTGATTAAGTTTTAATAGTGTTTTTAAAAATGCCAAGTGATAATAAGTTTAGATAGTAAATAAAAATTGCTGATTTTCATGCGCTAGGTTTATTCGATTTACTTATGAATTATCTGTGTGTCAATAAATGCAACTGTTATTTAAAAAAAAAATGTTTTTGGACATATTTATAACAATTTCATTTTGTGTTTAATAAATCAAAAAGATATTATTTCGTCATGGAAAGCATTTGCTTTGATTACAAGCGATAGTTTAGTTATTTTTTTCCTTTCTATATTTATTTTTATTAAGGAGCGCTTAAATTTCAGAATAATGAAACTTTTCAACTGACTGACGATTAATGCTTTAAAACTTAAAAAATTTGTGCTAAATACATGATAACCGATTCGACTAATAATTATTAGAGACTTTAGTACTTGCACTGATGCATTTAATAGCATAAATGCAAAATAGACAAAAGAATCAACTAACTAAAGTCTCGTTTTATCAGCGTACAGCTAATTAAACTGCAAATGCCAGTTGTAATACATATGTATGTACTTATATACTTCATTTTCACCTGACCACGCTGTAAAACAATTGCCATCTGGGAACGACTTAATTAGAATGAGAGTGAAAATATCGCTTATCATAGCCAAAGTAAGTGACATCCCTGATGACAGTAAATGCATGGTACAGCCGTCTGCTGAAATGTATACACAATAAAAAAAGCGAAAAAATTGGTTTGGGCTATGGGAGTTTTTTTTGTTTTTTTTTGTTGGTCCCTTCGACAAAGTTGACACTCCATACTGTCGTTCATTACGTACATCGCAGGGATAATGCCACACTGGCAGCTGGTATTGCTGGCAACTTGCCGGCTACTAAAATGAGCGACAGCGACTTTATTACAAGTGGCATATGGTGGTCCTATATGTAGGTATGTATGTATGTATTGGCATTGTAGTTGCATGGATCAGCAAGAATGTTGATGGCTGTGTTGATGACCGCGATGAAATCATGGCTTCAATTCGCATAAAAATGCGCTTCAATGGGATGCGTTGGGAATTGGCGAGAGCTGCGAGGACGCTTTGGAGTTGCCCGCATGCAAATTAACTTAATTAGCTGGGAAAACAAGTTGGGTATGAATAAAGGTAAACATTTTATGAACAATAAAAATGCAGATGAAGTGAATGAAAGGGAAAATATGGAATGGTTGGAATAAAAAAGAAGAAAAAAACAAATCGGGAAATATATGAGAAGATATATTTAGCCTGCGAGGAAGATTTGTACTCCTATTTAGTTTTTTCCAAGAAATCAAATATTTAGTAAGTTTAACTTTTATTCATTTTAAATTGTGGTACCAAAAGTGGCTACAGATTTGTTATCAAAAGAATTTGGTAAGCAATCGTGTTCTAGAATACTTATGTACGTACCCGAACGCTTCTCTTGATTTATTTCGGAAGTTAGTAAAGAGGCAATGACTGTAAATTTAAGGAACCGATAATTTAGCAACTACTATACACTATTTTGATTTTAACAATTTTCTAACTCAAGTTTCGCATAGTTACATAAGTTCTATTATTCTCTATGAGATACATATAAATATCTTTACTTCAGCTTCGCGCTTTTCCTGCAAGCAGAACAGTCAGTCACCAGTTATGTTCGCGCACGCGTGAAAGAAATCATACTGCAATATACACAAATTAGGGTGGTCCTTAAAAATATGAATTTTTTCCTTTAAATCGTATTTTGTAAACATTATTTTGTTCTTCTTGGACTTCCACGAAAATTAAAAAATTTAAAATCTATTTTAAGGGATCGCTATAAAGGTTTGAAAAAAATGTAAATCTGGTAAATTTGACATATTGGCATTACCAGCCGAAGGACTGCCGCGCAAAATAAAAAGTTAAAAGTCATCTATCTAAATTATTTATGTGCCAATTTGGTTGCTTTCTATTACATAGATATACTGGTTATGTAAGCAGAAACACTTGTGCAAAAATGGTCTGGCTAGGTGGCGCTACGGTCGAGATATTTTGAAAAGCCGTATTTATGCTGCGAGTTGTGTCAAAGTTGAAACAGATTTGGATAAAATGGAAACGCTAGATGTCGTTGGAGTCAAGCTAAAAATATATTCGACATAAAAATTCATGTTTTATCAGCGCTAAAAAATTGTTTAAAAAGAATATAAACAAAAAAAAAACACTATCAATAGAAATTTTAGTAATGTAACGTCATGTAACGTCACGTCAGATACTGCGGCTGATAAAAAAAAAATACAGGAAAAATTTTTATAATTTTTTAATTGGAAAAGTAACCTTAAATATTTCAAATATTACTATAAAAAATCGTATACAAATAGTCTTGCCCAGTTCGCAAAGTTTTGCAATTTTGCAACCCAAGTCAAAACCCACATTTGTTGTTTTCTAACGTTACGCCCGCGCATATATTTGCCTATACATACTATCTTTAAATCTATACTACCAATTATTGTAACTTTTTTCTGAATAAAGGTATACTTAATTACTATGCGAATACAGAAAAACCTTTTTAAAATTAAGACTTTTTCATTTTATTTTTTAACATTTTGTCATACAATTATCACGCCACGTCAGATTACAAATGCGCGTATTTTTGAAAATTATTCATATAAATTCACAGTCATCCCCAATTGGATTCATCATACAAAAATTGCCATTTCTTCGGAATAAGTTCAGCATTTTTAAAATTTCCCTAAGCTCTAGTTAGCACGGCTTTACAAGTAGTTACATTTCATGAAAAAGTATCAAGAAACACATGTATAGGGGGTGTCAGTATGGACTTCATGCGCTCAAAAGGCATTTTGTTTTTAAATTTTTTCTATGGGTAGGTTCTTGAGAAAATTTTATTTTCGTGTTTTCCGGGGTGTGATTTTATTAAAATATTTGGCTTTTTCTTCTAAACTGACAAATGTTGCCAATGTTTTGGGACCTAGTAAAAAATATTTTTTTTTTTCAAACCCTGGCAGCGACGCGTAAAAATTATCTAAAAATGTAGAAATTTTTATAGTTGTTTTATTTTGTACGTATAGCAAAATAAAGGGGTGTCTAATACAAAATTTAGTTGTTGATATTTTATCAACTACCCTAATATACATAGATATTTATATACATATGTGTCATTCCATACAATATTTACACCTCAATCTTTTTTTTAGGGTGAAATACATATTTTTACATCCTTTGTCGAAAAAAAGAAGACAGCTATTTTTTTATTTCGTCACAATATTCCAAAATCTCGAAAAAAAATTCCCGAAGTTTTGAACTCACGGAGAAGTATATTTTTTTTTATTTGTTTGCAGTTAATACACGATTTGTCGGAGAAAATCAGTTAAGGTATCAAAATGTGCGTAATTACCTCGGCTTTTCATAAGAGTGTGAGATAGATTAAAATTTTGCATTAAAAAATCGCATTTTTTATTTTTTATTTATTTTTATTAACTTCATAATGTTTGATTTTTATTTTTTTCAACCTGAATAGTTGTCAAACTTTATGGAGTAAGCTGTAAAAATTTTAGAATGGAAACACCAGAACTGTAGATGTTACGAGTTTTTTCATACCTGCATACTTATGTAAAGTTTATACTAAAGTTTCTCCGACAAATAGTTTATTAACTGCAAACAATTGAAAAAAGATACTTCCACGTGAGTTCAAAATTTCGGGAATTTTTTTCCAGATTTTCGAATATCATGACGAATTAAAATAATAGGTGTCTTCTTTTTTTCGATAAAGAATGTAAAAAAATATATTTCACCCCAAAAAAATATTGAGGTGTAAATATTGTATGGAATGACCCATATGTAAGCTGGCCAGCGTATAGCGATTGCATCATACAATTGCTGCCAAAGGTGTAGTTCCAAGTGTATTTAATCCTTTGGCGAGGGAAAATATAGTACATTGTGTATATGCACATATGCACATACCATAAGTATGTATGCATAAAAGTAAAAAATCGACATTTCTTAAGTTTGCTTGTGTAGCACACAACTGCCAAGTGTTTATTTGTGATGAAACAAGTTAAAAAGATTATTATTTTTTTTCAACAATTTTGGCAGCAACAACGACGCCAACGCAAATTCTAACGCCAACAATGGTTGCATCGACGGTAATACATATAAAAGCTCACAACGCAGTCGCGTCCACCGCCAATACGGCTATCACTTCTGCTTTCTGCCGCTTGGCCAAACGCCAAGTCATTGCATTTTTCGCGAAATTTGAGAAATTCACCAACATTTCCGAAAAATGCCAGTTTCCGCCAGCATGACAATAACAAATAACTTTTAGTGAACGGGTGGTAAAGTTGCATTAAAATATGGATTGTGAGCGAGAAAAAGTTTTTCAAAAAAGTTGTGAAAGATTGTTTAAAGAATATGAGAAAGGTAACAAAAATAACTCGGGGAAGCGACAAAAGTTGTGTGAATAGAATAAATTGATGAAAACGTAAAGGCAATTTAGTGGCAAATATCATTTTTTGTTTGTATTTTATTGTCGTATTTTTTGCACTCTTTTTTTATGGTATTGTAATTATGTTTTAGTTGGAGTTTTTATTATATTTGCTGTTATATATTTTTTCAAAAGAAAATAACATTTATGGATGGCTTGCAGGCTATCACCCAAATTCACAAAGAACAAAGAAGACTTTAAATGTTTTATAAATCGAAAATTTACCTTTATGAAACTCTTTAAAGCAATTTTGTTTTTTATGAATAAGACCATATATCTTGGCATTTTTTTTAAATTTTTTAACAGATGGATATCCTTAATGTGCTTTTCATTCATCGACGGGAATGGCTGAGATTTGTAGTAAAATATCTGCTATCCAAATCAATAACTTCAAAGCTAATGAAAAAGAGATCAAAACCTGCCAACCCATTATTTCTTATGAAGGTGAAGAAAATGGTTAAATCTTGGTCAAGTAAAAATATGGCGAAATCTATTTTTTGATGAACGCATTCCACTTAGAATTAGATTTCACCAAGAAGTATGCATTCTATATATGAAATCAAAGTATAGAAATACAAATTGCTCGAGTCCTAAAAGGGCTATTTAATGTAAAGACTTGAAGAAGGGCTAAATAAGATACTTGCACCTCAATTTAAAAAAATGTAGCTCTTAAATGTAGCTACTATCAAGAAGTATTATTTAGCTCTTTTTAGCTCTTTTTTTGACCGTTTTGCTCCAAAGAAAAATTTTTTTGGCAACACTCTTTCAGAATACTATTGAAATACACGTAGAATTATAAATCAAAATTGGCTTTCAATAAAAATAATATGTAACTATTATCGTGGTAAATAAATTATTTTTCAAAAGGTCTAGGTTGTTTCACACACACCCAAAAAATGTTCATAATTTAGAAACACACACACACTTTAATCAGACTGATATAAAAAAACTCCCCATCCAACACTTAGTTTTGCTTAATCATAATACATATACAAATATTATAATACATACTTATGTATGAATATGTTCACATGTACATAAAGTACATTAACAACTCACCTAAATGTGTCCAGTATCATTGTGAAGAGCACAAATTTCCCTAATAATGGCACAACTAATGACGTTGGTGGAATAATTTCGGCCAACAGCAAAAAGAACACAGTCAGTGACAGTAAAATGGATATGCTTAATGAGACCTGTAATTGAGAAGAAAACAGAAACACAAAGGGAAAACAGATGAAACTCGTGTAAATATATATGAATGTGTATGTATACAAAATTTCACATTTACATAGGTATGCAAAAATAGATACAGCCACTGCAAGCCGGTTAATTCAGACGTACAGATGAAATAGACGACATTAACAAAGCAATAAAAATATGCATAAAACTTTGTATAAGAAAGGGCATTTTGTTTTGCTGAAATAAATAAAATAAACAATTCGATACTATTTGTTGACCTCTGTAAAATGATGTAACACTGATACATAAGGAAATGTATCAAATCCAAAGAAGTACACTGCCGGAAACAAGTATTGGCACAGAGAATGCAATAATTATACCCGAGCGCACTTGTGCACAAGGGTATTATAACTTTGTTCACATAACGGTTGTTTGTAACAGGCAAAACGAATCGAGATAGATATAGACAAATGTATACATAAATGATCAGAATGAAAAGAGAAATCGATTAAGCGGTGACTGTCTGTCCGTCCGTCCGTCTGTCCGTCCGTCCGTCCGTCTGTGCACACGATAACTCGAGTAAAAATTGAGATATCTTAATGAAACTTGGTACGTGAACTTCTTTTGGGTGTAGGACGGATGGTATTGAAAATGGGCGAAATCGGACAATAACCACGCCTACGTCCCATATAACGGTAATTTTCAGAAATACGAAAACTGCGATATTTTAGTAACTACTGAAGATTATTCACTCAAAATTGATATTTACAATGAGTTTTAGACGAAAAATAAGAATATTTAAAAATTTTGGCAAATGGGCGTAGCCACGCCCACTTATGGTTACATGTGTATATCTTGGTAACCGCTGCACAAATTTCTTCCAAACTTGGCACAGTTGTTGGTCCTGGTACAGCATACCAAATGGCCGAAACTTTTTAAAATCGGACAATAACCACGCCCACATTCCATATAACGGTAATTTCGAGAAATACAAAATCTTCGATAAATCAGTAAATATCAAAGCTAATTTATTCAAAATTGATGGTTGCAACAATTCTTTACCAAGAAATATGTTTATGATAAAATTTTGGAAAATGGGCGTGGCACCGCCCACTTGTGATTACATATATGTATCTCGCTAACCGTTCTAGCAATTTGTACCAAACTCGGTATTGTTATTGTGCTTGCCACATAAAAGCAAACCGTTGAAAATTGTTGAAATCGGTCTTAAATTACGGCCGCTTTTCAAATAACAATAAATTTCAGAAATGCTTGAAATTTCAATATGTCGAAATTTAAGGACGCTAATTTACTTAAAATGTATACACCCCGGCTTATCATGTAGCGGTAGCTTTCGGCAAGGTGGAAAACATATCTTTAATACTTGCGCCGGGTATTTAATGTTCGGCTCCGCCCGAACTTAGACTTTCTTACTTGTTTTTATTCTAATTTTTTCCCGTAAGTTTTTTATAAAATTATGGTTCATTCTACAACAAAAAATATTAAAATATGATTTCTAAATTTTGTGCAAAACTCGCGAAAATTCAATAAATTATCATGGAAATTTTCAACTTTTTAATTCGATTTTTTTGAGTATGCAGTTTTGTAGCCCATTAAATTCTAGTATAAAAAATTCAAGTTTGAAGTAAGTCAAAAATTGCTTTGATTTAAGCATACTCAAAAAATTCTAAAAATCTGATTAAAAAGTTTAAAATTTTCATGAAAATTTATTGAATTTTCCTTAGTTTTGCACAAAGAATAGAAATTATATTTTTATGTTTTTTGTTGAAAAGCGAACCCAAGTTTTATAAAACATTATCGAAAAAAATGAAAATAAAAATGGTTGCATATTTTGTAAGAAATTCTCTGTGCCAATACTTTTTTCCCGCAGAGTAGCGGTATAGGTATGTATCATTTTTAAAAATTTGAAAACTAATTTGAAATCTAAAGGACAAAGTGTATATATCACCCTAAACTAAGAAATTCGGTACCACATTATCTATTTACAGGCTTGCCAGGGCACCAAACGAGAAATAACGCTTGCATGCAGACGTTACTTCGAAAACGAAACTGATCTAATCTCTTATCATAACATAATTAGAGGAGAATAATGGTATGTTCAAAAAACAGTATTTAACCGTCTTGCTTTAGAAGGCTAAATCTGAGCGAACCAAGCATTGCACCCACCTATTTTTTATGGAGTTTTCGTCCAAATTTCAAGTATACAGAAAAATTTTTTATTACGAAAAATGAAATTCCAGCCGATTTTATCTCCCATTCGTTGGGTGCCCCGGCGCTCAAGTTTCGGGAGAGATACATGCCGATTTTCTTGTGTGGAACAAAAAACTAATACTTATTGAACCAAAATCAAAGACAGAAATAACAAATTCCAACTTTTTACGGGTTGAACTTAAAAGAAGGGGTTTTTGAAGAAAATTCCATTTTCAGAGTATTATCTATCTCGACCGACAAGCCGCACGAACGATTCATTTGCAGACGAGTGCCTCAAAACTTACTCCGGCAAAGTAGTTGGCATAAGGTGAGGCGAAGAAAAACGATAAAGGTACAAGCAGAGACGATATCGTCTGCACACGAATTTTTCGTCGGCCAATTTTTTCAAAAAGATAATAAGACTGTTAAACTTCTGTGGAAATCGTCTAAAATGATTTTTTCAAGAGTCTTGCGTCAAATAGAAGGCAACTCAATATTAAAAAAAAAACATTCCTTCAAGTACACAATAAATTATTTTCGTATATTATTTATTAAATTATTTTAATTTGTTTTTATATTCAACAATTTTTATTGAGCTCGAGGCCGTTTTCAATGAAAAACTTGTTGTGGAAAAGCAACAATAATCCTGAAAAAATGGTAGAAGTGATAGCTATTTCGGAAATCATCACTTTTCCTCATGAGACTTCTTTCAGCAGGATTTGAACTGACGATCCCAGCTGACTCAGCCAGTTGTCTACGCACTGTGCTAAGCTCGCCTTATAAACTGTTGTTGCTTTTTCCACTTTTTTTATGTGAGCCAACTACAATCAAGCGCAGCTATTCCAGTGAATCCCGTTGAAGAAGTCAGATGAGGAAAATTGTTGTTGCTTTTCCACAATGGTGTTTCATTAAAAACGACCTTAAGCTCAATAAAAAATGTTGAATAAAATTATTTTATTTTAATATACAAAACTCATACGCCATGGCATTCGAGTAACTTTGCCAGCCAGGCGCGTAAATAAATCTAAAAGTTCTAAAGAAATACCATTTTGGTTGCTTTCAGGAGTCGCAAAGGACCAACATTTTCCTGGCCCCAAAATCCTCCGTAACTAAGCTTTCAAACTAGGTGTAAGGTAATTGCAATTTTTTTGTATGGAAACCAACCCAGTCTAATATGGATACTTGTGCACTCGTGTGCTTTTGATTGCAAGTACATACATATTTACATATACTCAATAGCTTGGTAATTGAGTGCTGCTTAATTGTGTAAGAGTGAAACTTTTCGTAGGTGTGCATAAAAGCGGGGAAACATAGGCACAAAATGTTGACAGAAACAACGTATACACTCGGGTACACGTTTACGGCAGATACCTCAAGTATGCAAAGCGGTAAAAAAAAATTACGCATTATTCCCTCAGCGAGCTTGGATTTGATTGTCACAACATTTTTGTGGTAGTTACGCACGCGCCACCAAATATTTGAGCACCCGTTGAGACAAGCGAAAGGACACGCATGTGGTCTCTTCGACATATAGACATATGCATATATGTATATTCATGTGTAGATACATATGGTCGCAGTAATAATTCATCGTACCAGTGAAGATAATTTTTCTTGCTTTTGCGGGGATTGTGGCATGCGTGACACGCAGCATATTTTGGCATATGTCAACACAGCTTACACACACATGTTTGCAAACACATATGTGCGTTCAAACACATATCGATATGAATGAATATTTAAAAAGTTTCTATTGCTACGTTAAACATTGGTGCAAGGTAGATGATTATGAACATTAGGGTGGTTCCAACCTTTTTCTGCCCCAAAACTGAAGAATATGGAAAATAAGGAGAGACGTATTATTTTTGTTTTGAAATCGGTTTACATTTACACATTTGTTTATAGAATTGCTATAAAATCGAATAAGAATATTTCCTTTCAAAAATCTTCAACCCATAAAATCACGGTGCTTTGTTTTAGTAACCATAACCCGCATGTTCATAAAAAATAGCTAGTAAAATTTCGTAGTTAAATTTTCATCACAATTCTATTGCTGAAAGATTTCGAAAGAAAAATATTTTCTATTCGATCAAAAAATGTTTATTTTAAACGATTTTACAGCAATTATAAAAAAATTTATAATTATTTGCAAGGCAGAGAGGAAATCGCCGAAGTTTTTTGGTCTCGGCCCAACCCAAAAACCGGTTGTAGCACCAAGTAGGAAGACGAATCAATGAATAATAACAATATTTAAAAATAATGCAAATATGTAGAAATAGCTTGGTCAGTAAATTTCTTCATACATTTTTCTCTTCTTGACTCACTAATCATACTATTGATCTATCGATAGATCATTTTAAAGTTAAATTGTTTTGGTATTTTTCCATAAATATATTGTCCATGATTTAACAAGATCCATATAAATCAAAGTTTCAGACTTAATATAAAGTTTAGGAAAATACAAAAAAATTTCTTTGAAATTTCAAACTTTTTTATCTGAATCTATAGAAAATTTTTAATTATGAAATTTTATAGCCAATATAATTTGAATGAATTGTAGGATAAAACGTTGATTTTTAATAATTTTTTTGTGATTGCTTCTGCGTTTTTTTTTTTTTATAAATAGTACAAGTGCAGTTTTTAAGAACTGTCGTTGGTATTTTGAAATTTTTCTGTGAACGGTCTTCCTCTCTTTTCACAAGAAATTCATGCTTATATGGAAAAACTAAAAAAATCCGTACCAAAAAATAAAAACAAAAAAAAAAAATTAACCCGATTTTGTAACCGCTTGAAACTTGTACTTCATTCGAATAAAACTGTATGGACTATAAAACTGCATACCCAAAAATGTTCTTAAGACTCTGAGAAGTTTGTAATTTTGATGAAAACTTGTTAAGTTTTTCTAAAGCTTGAACAATGTGGTTACCCGGGTGTTCACACCTGTCTGGTTATCTGGCTATGTAGTTTATTTTTTTTATTAAGTTTACAACAATAAAGTGCACTAAGGAAAAATAATTTTGAAGCTGATAACGAGGCTAGTGCGAACACCGACAATATTTTTATAGAAAAAAACTGAACTTTATAAGAGAATATTTAAGTAAAATCAAAACGTGGTCACTTGTTTGATTAACTGTATTTGAATAACTTAAAACTATAGTGCAATCAAAAAAAAAGAAAAAAAAATTACAAACATTTGCTTCGCGCCACTAATGCACAAATGTTCCATATACGAGTGCCCCAATTTTTAAATATAGATATTTTATTTTTAATATTTTTATTGAGCTTTGTACCACGATTGTTTATTAGGAAAAATTGAAAAAGCAACAAAGTCTAAGCGGTAGAAGTTATAGCACTATTTCGGAGATCACCACATCTCCTCATCAGACTTCTTTTTCTAGACTTCAGCAGGGATCGAACCTGCGAATTCGATGACTTAGACGCTTAGACTTTGTTGCTTTTTCAATTTTTCCTAATAAACAATCGTGGTACAAAGCTCAATAAAAATATTAAAAAAATGTTAACAAGCCACAATAACATTGACAAATACATAGATATTTTATGTTTGCTGATTCCATCCTTATTTGAATATTTTCCATTTTATGAATTAAAATGTAAAATTTGCAAATCACAATTTCACAAGGTGTATCTACATATAAACGTACATATATGCACATACATAGGTATGTTGATGCATATAAATGTATACATATAACGACGTTAGGCATTTGTAATTATTGCAAAATTTTATTGATAATTTCAGAATAATTCCCGGCTACAAATAGGCTTTGCGGAAGGCGGCTTTGTGGTTTCAGCTCGTATATTTCACATATGCAAATATAGCATATACACATGTATGTATGAATGTGCATAACTGCTAACCTTATATTATATACTATTTCCTGTTTATGGCGCCTATGCATTTGTTGGTAAACTATTTATTTTTGCCCATTTTTGATTTAATTTGTTTGCATTTCGCTGCCACGCCATTACCTTTCTGGTGAATTATTCAATGCTTGTACATACATATTTTGCGTTCAGATTACATATCAAAATCACATATTATTATTGATCACTCGTACGCCGCGGTTAATTAACTAAGCGTGCAATGCGGAACGTTGATTTTTCAATGATTTAAAAGTAAATTAACACGATAATTTTCGCACAATCACAATGTGTGAATTTTTGATTAAGTTGTAATTAATGGAAATTTAGTGTTAAATGTTAATGCTGCTTTTTGTTTTTATAAAGTAATGCCGATTTACTAAATAAAATTATTTGATACGAAATTTTTTTACTTAAATGCTCATACACACATTGTGTAAAATTTTTTCATATGAGCTAATATAAATATTTATTAGGGTGTTCGATTATTCGCCTTTTTCCAAACCCAGGTTTCGAGTTATTCGAAAAATTGCAATTAGAAAAAACCGCATCCCGATTTTGAATTTAAGAAAAAACCGGTTAAACCAGTTCTATTTTACATAGGTTTCATACAATGAAATGCTTAGGTTGGTATGAAGTCATGACCAACAACTAAAATAAAACTAACAACATTAAAGGTAGCTTTTATTTAGAAAAGAGCAAAGCAAAATAAGAGCAAATTTTTTTTTAGATCAAAAGAAAAACAAATAAATGTTAGTGAAAATTCACGTTTGGTCTTATTTTAACTTTTTTCCTGATATTGTTCGGATTTGAGTAGTGCTCTTGCCGCCGTAGCTGAATGCTTAGAAGTGCCTACTGCTACTACGGAGGTCCATGGTTTAAGAAGAAGAACACGAATTGGAGGAAAAGCTCGACCAAATCAAGTAGAAAACGTTTTAAGCGCCAGACATTTGTATATTTGAATCAAATATGATATAATGTTCATCCCCAAATAACCTAGGATATAATTTTAAAACTGTTTGGAGGGTTTTCCTTAAACTAGAAAGAGCCTTGAAAACTTCGAAAAACTCAAAATTTTTATTGAGAGATGAAGATTTGTATGCAATGTGAAAAACAGCTTTGTTCGATAAAAAAATCCGGTTTATTCGATATCACAGTCCAACCAAAATGGAAAAAATTTGGTGCGGCAAATGCTAAAGCCGTTTTTTATAGACTTTTTTGTGCTGATTACGAATCTGTAAGTACAAACTTTTCAACAGCTTCAGCTTTTGAGAAAAACGAGGTCAAAGTGTCAAAAATCGCGTTTTGCAATATTTGAAAAGCTCTAGCAAAAAAAAAACAAAAGGTGACAAATGCTTCCACTTTGGCTTGAAATAAAGCTACAGCTCTCGACTTCTATTCCTGAAAATACATTCCTTGCACCTTGATCTGATTTTGGTGAAGTTTGAGTTCCTACCGCAATTAAACTAAAGGTGATAGAACTTTCCACTTAGGCTTAAATTAGGGCATGAACCTTCGACTACAATCCCTGTTTTGCAATCAGTTTTTGCTTTTCAATAAATGACTACATATAAGTGACCATCAGGCAAATGTGCAGGGATGTTGTATTCAGAGTTAGTAGTCGAGAGTTCTAGCTTTAATTTAAGCTTAAGTAGGTTCTATCACGTTTTGTTTCTTTGGTAGAGCTCCTCAAATATTGCAAAAAGTGCCAATTTTTGACACTTGGTCCTCGTTTTTCTAAAAATCTGGAGCTGATGGAAACTTTATACTTATGGATTCGTAATCAACACAAAAAAGTCTATGAAAATCGAAAAATCAAGATTAAACAACCGCCTATAAATATAAAAAGACCGGTGGAAACCGGTTTGGAAAAACCGAGTCAATCACCCTAATATTTATGTAATACATATCTATTTGTTTTCTTTTTTACCAATTTAAGGTATAAACATGTACACATATATATGTTCATGAGGTCATATTTCTCGTTTTCTGGAACGCGCTTCTGGTACTCGACACAATTTATAAAAACATTTTTGTGACAATAGACAAAAATGAATACGAAAAGAGGACCAGGAAATAAACGAAAGTTTGAATAATAAATAATTTCAATAATTTATCGAAAGGACTAAATTGTGAACTATAGGTGAGTGAAATCGAAAGCGAAATTATATTTATATAAGAAGCAATTGAAGTCCTAAGGTAGCCTTAGTCTAAGTAAAGATGTATCTACTTTAAATTAAATCACTTATGTAAGTACCTAAATTTAATATCTTAAAATACTAACTTTGTAAATACATATATTTTACCAAATTTATAACATATACTCGCACTCGTACATACCTTTTCGCCGCTGTCCGATGGCAGGTAAAAAACTAATATGGTTAAAAAACTAATACCCATGCAGGGTATGATGAGATTGACCGTATAGAAAAGCGTCTTGCGGCGCATTGTGATGTTGAATGTTATGTCCAAGTACGGTTCATCGCAACACGTATAGAATTTTTCATTGCTGTAAATAAATTAAGAAAAGAAAGTAGAATTATTAGTTTCTAAATATAATTGTTTAAAATATTTAAAATTTTTTCACGTAAATACATATGTACATAAATTAACAAAATGACCACAGAAGAAAATTTTGATTTAAATAGTAAGACCCCTGCAGGAAAATACGATTTTTGCGCTATTCTTGATTTATGTCCACCAAAGTCACATACAAAAAATTTAAGCTCTTTGCAAACCCTTTGAAAAAAATTTGTAGGGCACTCCAAGTGTGCGGCGGGTTAAAGCTATTTACCGTTCGGAATCGGCAAAAAATGTTGTTCTACCTTTTATGTTATGAAGCACTTAACAAAAATATGAAGGTCAAATATTTGTTAAACTTTTATAAATGCGATTCTGTCTTATGCAAATACATACATATTTATATTTGTATAAATAGATGTGTACTTGTATGTGAAATTGCAACTAAAATCAAAACAACGGCCAGAGAGCAGCTGGTGAAAAAGTTAAGTTGTGTGAAATTTTATTTGGTAAATAAATATTCGGTGCACATGCACTTCTATGTATGCAAATGAATATTGGCTTATGTATGTATGTGCATATGCGGCAAAATTATTTAAATGCGATATAAAAACTTTAATGGTTTCATTTTTGCTATTGATGTGTAGTTGCAAGTAAGTAAAATGGATTCCTAGAATATTTATTGTGATATTTCGAAAACTACGGTGTGTTTGTGTGGAACTTATATTTAAACAAAAAAGGTCAAATAATAATTTGTATGTATCAATCTCTAGACTATTGTTAATTTATTTAATAAATTAAATAATTAATCGCAATATTTCGATAATAGATTTAAATGTTTCCACAAATGCAACAATTTGGACTCAATTTCTTTTTAACAAACATATTTAATAAGTAAAGTTAAGTTTAATTTTCTTATGAGATGTACTTAGGTACTCATTTATATACCTATATTTTACCTATTAGGTGCAGTGCACTAGTAATTACGTGAGCACTACCTTATACATCGCTAACCTGAACACTTATTACGAGTATTTAACATGATTATCAGGGCTCGTAAAAATATGCCAAAAAACACTGAAAATAAGCGGTTTAACAAGTTCGATAAAGTAACAAAATAAGTTCATAAATATGCAAAATCAATGAAGTTTTATTTAATTTCTTCAAAATTTTTAGTTAATAATCTCGGAATAACAATATAAAATAATATATATATTTTTTTTAATAATCAATCGAAAATGACTTCATCTGGTAATTTAAAATTGTTGAATATTTCGAAAAACTCCTTTCCACATCCGTAGATTTAGTTGGACAAAATTTTCAAGCTAAACAAAAATTCAGTGTATTTTTCTATATAAATAAAAAAGGTGACCCATTGTTTCTAGTTCCGATGTAGGTGATGCTTAGTCTTATGTGTGAGTGCCAACCGGATATTGTCCAGTAAAAACCGCTACAGGTCTCGCAACGTCAGGTTATGAATTTCGCAATAAGTGGTGTTTTCTCTTGGGGGGGAACAAGAGCCACATGCGTTTGGCTGTAAGCAGCCTGACGTCATGCGCCACCTTAAAACCAATTTTGGGTATGATCCGGTCCTCGATTGAGGCCAATGTGCAATTCTTCCTGGCCAAGTTATCCGCAGTATTATTTCCGCGAATGTTGAGATGTTCTGGGACCCAAGCTCCCAGGATGCCCGAGAAAATAGCCACACGCTCGCTTTGCCGTTAGCCATGAAGTTATATAAAAAGACAATTACTTTGTTTCTCTCTAGCGGAGTGCTTATTCTAATCGGTACATAGAAAATATTTAATTAATTTAGAAAAACTCAAACCGTTTTCATTGAAATTAAAACTTAAATGTGAAACTTTACGACGATTTTTGGATATATAGTTTTATAGCTCATGTAATTTAAGAATAAAGGTTCAATTAGTCTACACTTAATTTACGTAACGTAACCTAATATATTGGCCAAAGCCATATATTTTTGTTCAGGAATTTTTTTATGAGGCTTCTAGGCGGCAAAGCGACCATCAGCTGAAGCGGAAAATACAAGAACAAATTATTTTCGCTTCTGGCTAAGTTGACGTGTTGAGTAATCATTGACGATTTCGTACCTAAATTACGTTTAGTCTACACTAACCAGACTATAATAAAGAGCAAATTTGAAATAATAAAAAATTGACAAATTACAAAAATTTTGTATTTATTAAGTGCACAGCATCGGGCTGTTAATATGTATTAACAAATCACATTGTGAACGATTGTTTGAGTCATTGTAAAACTTGTACTATACTTGGTTAATGTAAATATTGAATAGCGGTATCAGAATATTATAATGATACGAGTATCGACAACAAACTTTCTGTGTTATCATAATTCTGATATCCTACTCAACGAATGTTAACTGATTAGGTTAGTTGAATATTGGCAAACCCGCTTATGGCGGCTTTTACGCCATACGCCCTCATGGAGGCCTATACTCAATTCCCCCTAACCCTTCGAGTGTCTATTATGGCCCAACCGCTGCGGTTAGGAGATGTTGTTAAGTTTCTGTACAAACAAAACAACCTTTTGCCCAACACACAACCACCAACGATATTTATCATAACTTCAAGTACGACATGGATGGGAAATAAAATCGAACTTTGACAAATTTAAATTGAGGGAGGACAGTTCTGAAGACCAATATTTATAGTATAAGGTTTACCAAGACCAATACCTTTTCATTTTGAATCTTTCACATTGTTTGGCATTTTCTTGTCCTCGGTGGTCGACAGTGTAAACAAACAGAAAGTTTTCACTTTATAAATCACTTATGCAGGTTCTGATTTTTTACTTCTCTCTTATCCTTCTTGCTCTGCTACCATCACTTGAGTGCTCAATTCTGTGTGTGTTTGTGTTTTCGCAATTCCTTTTCAGACTCGGCCGCGTTTGTATTCATACAAATTTTAAGATCTACGCCTTAAACTATTTAGCTTGTAGAGAGAAATCATTCAACCCAAAACCATTACAACGGACAATCGGTTAAAAGTAGTTTGTGTGAATTAGGTCGATCGGTTGTTTGGTTGGCTTGCTGGTCGAGCGGTCGGTAGTTGAAGGGGTTTTGCGGTTTAGCTATCGGTTGCATTGACGATTGTTCACGCAGGCGGAAGATTGACTGACTGAGTAGCGGCAACAAAAAAATATGCTGGTTTTGTTTACGACTTTTCCTCATTTTTCTTTAAAATTTTGCACCTCCCCTTTCGCATTTTCGCAAGCTTCAAATAAATAAGGTTTATATCTTGCATTAACATAATTGAACGTTTATGTTAATCAAAAAAGTCAACAATCCTGCTAAATCACTTTCACAATGCATTGCGAGAGGCTTAGATCGCTACTTGAAATAATTTG